GCCAATTTTCAGCTTTCAGCACAGTTGCACTTTGAATGATAATTGCTCGGTCATGCAATATTGTACCCATATGAAGTTTTTTTTATTTATTTTTTTCACAGAAATAGAGTTTTCTTTTGGTGGTATTTAATTACTACTACGTGTTTTTTGCACTATAAACAAAAAAAAGAGTAAAAAATTTGAAAAAAAAGTTTTTCTTTGTTTCTATTATAAAATTTTGCAGACAGGTAATTTTTCTCCTTCGCTGATGTGCTTTGATGAGGCTGCACTGATAGGCAGCACTGATGGGCACTGATGAGGTGGCATGGATAGGCAACACTGCTGGGAACTGATAGGCGGCACGGATGCTGCTGCACTTATATGCAGCAATGATGGGCACTGATAAGCGGCATTGATGGGCACTGACTGACGGCACTGACTGGTGGCACTGCTGGGTGGCATTGCTGGGGGGGGCACTGCTGGGCACAAGTGGGTGGCACTGTTAGGCACTGGTGGATGGCACTGATGGGAACAGGTGGGTGGCACTGCTAGGCACTGATGGGTGGCACTGCTGGGCACTGATCACCGGTGCCATGATGATCAGTGCCGATCTGTTCTCTGACAATTGCTGGTTATCGGCAGTACTTTCCTCATGTTGTGACAGCGTGAGGAAAGTGCAGCCGATAACCGGCAACTGTATTTACTCAGTGATCTGGTGTGTCATTGGACACAGCTGATCATGTGGTAAAAGGCCGCTGTGATTGGCCTTTTACCACATCACGTGATCAGCTGTGTCTACAGGACACAACGATCACGGAGATCGCTGGGTGTGCGCCGCTGAGGGCATGTTCTGGGAGGACGTCATAGAACGCCCTCCCAGAACTGGACAACCGCGCTGTAGCTGTCATTCGGGTATAGCGCGGTTGCCAAGTGGTTAAGCTTTAACCACTTCTCTTCCAATTTCATTGAGTGGCCCTGTGTCTTCTTACACTCCATTAGACTAAACAATTTATTCCCTATACTAGAACTGCCATTAAGATACTTGTATATTGCTATCATATCCCCTCTCAAGCATCTCTTCCCCAGGGAGAATAAGTTTAGTGTTAGTAATCGTTCCTGATAACTGAGTTCCTCTGGTCCCCTTATTAACTTTGTCACCCTTCTCTGGACTCTCTCAAGTTCCCGTACCTCCCTTCTGAGGATTGGTGACCAGAACTGGACAGCAAACTCCAGATGTGGCTGAACCAATGTTTTGTAAAGTGGCAGGATTATAGTTTTATCTCTTTAATACATTCCCTTTTTAATGTACGCTAATATCTTGTTTGCTTTGCTTGCTACAGCTTGGCATTACATGCCATTGCTGAGCCTGACATCTACTAGGACCCGGAGATCCTTTTCCATCCTAGATTCCCCTAGAGTTTCTCCCCCTAGTGAGTAATTAGTATTCGTATTTTTAGTCCCCAAGTGTATTATTTTTCAACATTAAGCCTCATTTGCCATGTATTTGCCCACCCCATTATTTTAATGATGTCTTCTTGTAAAGTTTCTATATCTTGTTGTGAAATTATTGCCCTACTTAGCTTTGTATCTTCAGCAAACACTGAGATTGAGCACTTTATATCAACCTTGATATCATTTCTGAAAAACATAACAGAATTGGTCCCAGGACAGAACCTTTTTGTACCTCACTTACCACTTCAGTCCAGTCCGAGCGCTCGTTATTTATAACAAACCCTATGGTCCATGCCTATAGATCTTAGTTTGTAAAATTAAGAGCTTATGTGGAACTGTATCAAATGCTTTTGCAAAATCCAGATCCACTGCCCTTCCTTTGTCTAAATGGCCGCTCACCACTTCCCCGTAGAACGTTAACAGATTGGTTTGGCAAGATCGACCTTTTGTAAATCCATGCTGATTACTACTAATTATACTGGGTTTTTTTTCAGCAAATTCTTGGATATAGTCCCTTATCATGCCCTCAATTAGTTTGCATACTATTAATGCTAGACTAGTCTGTAGCTCCCAGGTATACATCTCTGCCCTTTTTTGAATATTGATACCACGTTGGCCGTTCACCACTCAGCTGGCACTATTTCTGTCAGTAAGCTGTCTGGCTATAACTTGACTGAGTTCTTTTGGGGTCTCTAGGGTGTAACCCATCTGGTCATGGTGATTTATTTGTGTTAATATTTTCTAGTCTTTTTCGAACACTGTCTTCTGTTAGCCGCAAGGGTACATTCTGTGATGTGTTACTAATGATACAGTCTTGATCAGGGGCAGACTGACCATTCGAGCACTCGGGCAGTGCCCGAGGGCCCGGGGTCAGTAGGGGGCCCCATGAGATGCCCCTGGTACCTTTCATTGGCTTTTTCATAGGCTTTTTTGGGTGTGGACGAGAACACAGGGGCCCCATGATCCCCTATTGCCCGGGGGCCCCATGAGTTGTCAGTCCACCCCTGGTCTTGATCACTGTACCCCTCATTTTCTTTTGTAAAAACTGAGAATGTATTTAGTACAGTTGCCTTCTCCTTGTCATTTGTAACCAGCTTCCCGTCATCGTTCTCTAGGGGGCTAATATGTTCTGCCCTCGCTTTTTTACTATTAATATATTTATACATTTTCTTGGCTGCTACTTTTCTCTGCTATGTGTCTCTCGTAGTCTACTTTAGAAGCCCTGATTGCTTTCTTACACTTTTTATTGTATTCCTTGTACTGTTGGTATGCAGACATTGATCCCTCTGCCTTATATTCCTTGAAGTCCATTCTTTTCTCTTTGATATGTCCTTTTACGGTAAAGTTAAGCTACCCAGATTTAATCTTTGCTCTTTTAAATGTATTGCCCATTGGAGTACACTGGATAATACCTTTATTTAATATGTTTCTAAAGTATTCCCATTTTTCCTCAATGCAACCCTTCAAGGCAACCTTTCCAGGTTGTGGGCTCCATGTGGATTATTTCTTTTTTTGACCACCAGGGTAAATCACTCCACCCACTGTGCATGCACAGTCCCCAGCTTGGACATCTAGGCTTTACGCAGCCTGTAGGTAGGTTATTTTAGTTTTGGCTGCCCTAGCCAGGGGAAAGGGTTAATGCTTTTGTCATCTTCTCTGGGCTAAGTTTGCAGGCTTGTCTGGGTCTGTCCCTCCTGTCTTGTGTGTGTATATAAAAGGGACAAAGGTTTACATTCTGAGAGTTCCAGGGGGTTAGAGAGTTCTTAGTCCAGAGGATCTCCAGAGAGTTGCCTAAGCTTTCTGCTGAACCCTGCTCTAAAAGCCCTCTAACTGCCACCATGTGATAGGGCTAGTGGGACTTGCAGTCCACTCTGAAGAACCGGGACACCATCATCATGGACTACCCCCACCATAGATTTGCCAGTACTGGACTTTGGAGGTATGCTGGGACTGTGACTTGTTAAGGTTAGTTATGAGAAAGACTCTTTGCGTGTAAAACTGCATTGCTGAGTTTTATCAGTAAAGCCTTTGAAACTTTGTTTCAAGGTCCTGGACTGAAGTTATTCTGAAGGGGTATTTGAAAGTACCTGGCACACTTTACATAGACATCTGAAGTTCGGGTTAGTTAAAGCACAGTGGGGCATGAAGTCAGACTCTGCAAGAGTTAACATGGTGCAAAGTAGTAGCAAGTAGTTGCCAAGAGTAACGAGAGACTAGTAACCAGTATAAGCAGCCTGTCGTGAAGTCGTGAAGCGTGGTACCTGTACAAAGCAAGGTATCCTCCGGTAGCAAGGGGGTTGCTTCTTGGGTTCCCTCCTTAAGGGAGCTTATGTTGCTGTGGAGGGGTATGAAGTGTCACATTGTACACTTCAAATAAAGTTCAGTAAAAAAATGCAAAAAGGGAGCTGCTGTGTGATGTGATAACATGCGCACATTGCCCCCTGCCAAATGGCTCTGCAGCTCAAAATGTAGAGCAAACATCAATCTTTTAATCTGCAGGCTTGTGTAAGCGGGCTACCCTTCTGCTACTGAAGATGACAATGGCAGCTTATGAAGTTCACCATCTCTGATACAAGTGTTCAGGGTTCTTACTGTCTCCTTATAGCAGCACTTCCACATTTAAGGTGGTTGTAAACTCTTACATATACCCAGTGAAGTGACTGGCCTCAGGTGATACACAGAGATTAAACAGATCTTCCTACATATGTTGTACCTGTTTATCTACATCCATCTTTCCCCTACATCCATTCAAATTGCAGAATTTACACGGGATCTCTCAACTCTGAAAAGCAGGAGGCGGGGAGCTGAAGTTAAATTAGTGAGGAGAGCTCTGAGAGCTGATTGGAGTGATAAGGTATGGCAGTGATCAGGGTACTGGTATGGGGTATAGCAGTGATCAGAACGCTGGTATGGGGTATGGCAGTGATCAGGACGCTAGTATGGGGTATGGCAGTGATCAGGACATTGGTATGCGGTATGGCAGTGATCAGGGCTCTGGTATGCGGTATGGCAGTGATGAGGACGCTGGTATGCGGTATGGCAGTGATCAGGACACTGGTATGCGGTATGGCAGCGATAAGGACACTGGTATGTGGTATGCCAGTGATCAGGACGTTGGTATTTGAAATGGCAGTGATCAGGACGCTGGTATGGGGTATGGCAGTGATCAGGATGCTGGTATTCGGTATGGCAGTTATCAGGTTACTGGTATGGGGTATGGTAGTGATCAGGATGTTAGTATGCGTTATGGCAGTGATCAGGACGCTGGTATGGGGTATGGCAGTGATCAGGACGCTGGTATGCGGTATGGCAGTGATCAGGATGCTGGTATTCGGTATGGCAGTTATCAGGTTACTGGTATGGGGTATGGTAGTGATCAGGATGTTAGTATGCGGTATGGCAGTGATCAGGTTACTGGTATGCGGTATGGAAGTGATCAGGATGCTGGTATACTTTATGCTAGTGATCAGGTTACTGGTATGGGGTATGGCAGTGATCAGGACGCTGGTATACGGTATGCCAGTGATCAGGTTACTGGTATGGAATATGCCAGTGATCAGGTTACTGGTATGGGGTATGGCAGTGATCAGGTTACTGGTATGGGGTATGGCAGTGATCAGGTTACTGGTATGGGGTATGACAGTGATCAGGATGTTATGGCAGTGATTAGGTATGGCAGTGATCAGGGTACTGGTATGGGGTATGGCAGTGATCAAGACGTTGGTATGTGGTATGGCAGTGATCAGGATGCTGGTATGCAGTATAGCAGTGATCAGGACGTTGGTGTGCGGTATGGCAGTGATCAGGATGCTGGTATGCAGTATGGCAGTGATCAGGATGCTGGTATTTGGTATGGCAGTGATCAGGACACTGGTATGCATTATGGCAGTGATCAGGACGCTGGTATAGGGTATGGCAGTTGATCAGGACGCTGGTATGCGTTATGGCAGTGATCAGGACGCTGGTATGGGGTATGGCAGTGATCAGGACGCTGGTATGCGGTATGGCAGTGATCAGGACGCTGGTATTCGGTATGGCAGTAATCAGGACGCTGGTATGCGGTATGGCAGTGATCAGGATGCTGGTATTTGGTATGGCAGTGATCAGGACACTGGTATGCATTATGGCAGTGATCAGGATGCTGGTATGGGTTATGGCAGTGATCAGGACGCTGATATGGGGTATGGCAGTGATCAGGACGCTGGTATGCGGTATGGCAGTGATCAGGACGCTGATATGCATTATGGCAGTGATCAGGACGCTGGTATGGGGTATGGCAGTGATCAGGACGCTGGTATGCGGTATGGCAGTGATCAGGACGCTGGTATTCGGTATGGCAGTAATCAGGATGCTGGTATGCGGTATGGCAGTGATCAGGACGCTGGTATTCGGTATGGCAGTGATTAGGATGCTGGTATTTGGTATGGCAGTGATCAGGACACTGGTATGCATTATGGTAGTGATCAGGATGCTGGTATGGAGTATGGCAGTGATCAGGACGCTGGTATGCGGTATGGCAGTGATCAGGACGCTGGTATTCGGTATGGCAGTAATCAGGATGCTGGTATGCGGTATGGCAGTGATCAGGACGCTGGTATTCGGTATGGCAGTGATCAGGATGCTGGTATTTGGTATGGCAGTGATCAGGACACTGGTATGCATTATGGCAGTGATCAGGATGCTGGTATGGGGTATGGCAGTGATCAGGACGCTGGTATGGGGTATGGCAGTGATCAGGACGCTGGTATGCGGTATGGCAGTGATCAGGACGCTGGTATGCGGTATGGCAGTATGCGGTATGGCAGTGATCAGGATGCTGATATGCATTATGGCAGTGATTAGGACGCTGGTATGCGGTATGGCAGTGATCAGGACGCTGGTATGTGGTATGGCAGTGGTCAGGACGCTGGTATTCGGTATGGCAATGATCAGGACGCTGGTATGCCATATGGCAGTGATCAGGTTACTGGTATGGGGTATGGCAGTGATCAGGTTACTGGTATGGGGTATGGCAGTGATCAGGTTACTGGTATGCGGTATGGTAGTGATCAGGACGTTGTTATGAGGTATGGCGGTGATCAGTATGCTGGTATGGTGTATAGCAGTGTTATTGTGAGCACTGGTGACATTGGGGCAGGTGACAGGTGTTGGCTACACTGTTAATTATTTCTACATGGGACAGTGATCAGGGGCACTGGGGAAACCGGCACTGACAGGCTGTAGCCTGCAGCCTTTGTTCTCACAGCTGATGTGTGTGAGAGCAGAGACAACCAATCTTTACTTTCAATTTGGCATGTTTAAAATGTGATTGCTGTGATTGGACCAGCACAGATAATGTGACACATGGATCAACAGGCTCATGAGTGCGCACTCTGTGAGTACATTAACCCGCACCAGCACTGCTTCCCGTCTGCTCTTTATAGGCTGTGGGTGGAAGGAAAGTAGGGTTGCCACCTCATCCCTTTAAAACCGACCACATATTAATGACACAGGTTCTGAGGCTAATTTAATGCAGATAAGGCACCAAGTGAGTTTAATTACCACCTTAATCAGCCACAGAACCTGTGTAATTAATATGTGCTCGGTTTTCATCAATTGATACCTGCTATGGTGATCTGTTGCTGGCCTATTTTCAGAGCTACATCAGGTTTCAACTCATCCTATGCAGCTTCCCCCTCCCCCCACTTCATGCAGATAAAACATTAATAAATCAATTTATATTGATATATAATAATATATTATATTTTAAAAATCCTCTGTTCATTTTCCAGATCACAACAAATAAATTAAATGCTGTGGATGAAATTTGCATGTATTATTTCAGCATCTGACACTTGTGTCAGTGAACACAATATCAGAATTTTAACCAATTAACCTCCATGAAGACTTTACCCCCTTTATGACCAGAGACCCTCTTATGTCAGAATTCCGCTTTACATCATAATCCGCAGTGTTCCCCTTTACATCAAAGTCTGCAGCATTCCCTGTTACACATATAAAAGTATTTATATAAAAATATTTTATTTTATCAAGAAAAAAAAGTCAGTCTTACTCTCTTTTTTTGGGGGGGGGGGAGTCTTCGGAATTATAGGCTCCTATAAATGTAAATCCAGCCCTGAGAGTTCACCATTACTTGTCCTTTAGATCACCTCTGCAGGAGACCCTTGGTTATCTCACACCCATGCCTGTCTACATCTAGGCTCCTCCCACATGGCATTTAGATGGGCACTATTTCCATGATATCACTGAGGGGGGACTTCTAAAAGGGGAGCTAACACCTAATTTCAACTTTCCCCCACCATACTAAAAGGGTAATAGAGCCATCTAGTGGCAGGCAAGCTAACTGCACCTGCCAACAAAGTGGTGACATTTTTGAGTGAAATAACTTTATATTCAGACAAAATTCAGGGAACAAACATACATGCGGATGTACATGTGAGCAACATTCCAAAATATATTGCACATTCAATGCAGATCATGCATGGAAAAGATATCATAACTGTGCTATGGATAGACAATGTATAAAGTACCTGATAACACAATACAAACCAATGTACAGATCGTAGGATAGAACCCACTTATATGTTGCCATAATGAAAGGTCAGGATATGGAAAGGAAAAAGTAGGGGAGTATGAGGATTGTGAAAATCATTTGAAAGGGACTACACAAGGAGGGACTACACAAGCCCATGAAGGACCGCATAAAAGTGGGCATACTAAAGTGGTGGCATTTTTATGATTGGAGCTCTCTGATAGTATTACAGATGATCAATGACATAAAAAATGGAGAGTAGACAGTGCCAATACATATTTCTTTTTTTGTTGTTGCCCATATCAACAAACTAGATACTATTTTCCAGATTATAAAATGTTTTATAATATATAATATATTATATTGAATAAATTCTTGGAATCGATAGCACATCAATGAAAAATAGGCATATTAAATATGAGAAAGAAAATGCCCAAACCCTTGCTTTCAAACAATTGCATTTCAAGTAAATTATTTTAAATTACAGCTTGAAAACACTTGTTTAGCCTAATAACAAGGCTGATAAATACATTTTCCAATTTTAATCTATTTTATTCAGATTTACAAAACAATTAGTGTATGTAGATGGCACAGGGTCCTTGAGTAAAAGAAGCAGTGTCCCTACTTCCTTTGACTCTCATCTTTATTGAGGCACACACATACATGCCTTCTTGCCATGATGAGCTTTGCAGCCTGTGTCGGTCACAGCCCTATCAACAATAGAAGCTGCCTTCAAGCACACTTTACTTTTTTTCATGCCTTATTTTAACCAATTTATTCCAAGTTTTCCTTCACCAGCAACACTGACATCACTTTTTGTTGCCTTATTAGCACCAGGAAAACTATGTGTATTGCATATATAGAGTCCTTAAAGTGGAAGATACTAACTCATCTTAAAAATGTTCCCTTTCCCTTCATCTTACCTATCCTGCATACCCTGTGTAAAATGAGATCTGTGTTTCTCCTTACACAGGGGAGCTAGAGCTACAAGATCACATTACCAAAACGGAGCAAATATTAAAAAAGGGAAATACACCGATTTTTTTTTACACAGGGTATGCAAGATAGGCAAGTGGAAAGGGAGGGATAATTTTTAATATTAGTTAGTATTAGCTTTTACTACCACTTTAAACAATTCTAGCATCTTTCCCTCTATGATGGGGACCAAAATGAATAGCAGGGAAATGAAGGGCTCTCCTCTAGCCAAACCACGTGTCCCCTCACATCCCCCCTCCTTGTGCTCTCTTGCTGGCCACCCTTTGCTCCTTTGGGCCCATATCAGATAACAAAAGCTGTACAGGCTATATGACTGCCTCAGAACAAAACCAACTCAAAAGTATTACCCTACAAACAATAAGGGGAACTCATTAAAACAGTAACCTTATTTTTCTGGCCATATGGCCTGCACCCAATTCATGAAAGCCTTGCCCCTGTTTCGATATAAGTACCGACATGTGCACCAGATTCACGTAGTTCCTTCTACAGCCACTTTTAAAATCTATCTCTATGGTTTCTACAGATTCTAAAATAATTAAAGTTGTTTTTCTTGGATAAGCAAACTGGCAGTAATTAAGACAAACTCAAAGTTTCCATACAAAGAAGGGAGGGGTTGTGTGTCTGTTACTTTATTGAAATGTTTCAATGTGTTTAACATTTATTTCACTAGTTGGTATGACGAAGGTCGCCCAGGTCCTTGGAACCAATGATACAAGTTACAATAAACTGACAGTGGATGGAGCTTGATGGGGAAGTCTTAGAGACTACAAATCAGGTCTGCTTGGTCTGTGAAAGACAGCTGATGGCAGTGGGTGGATTTCATAGCCACTATTGTATCCACCAGGGGCGGACTGACCATTTGGAAACTTGGGCACTGCCCGAGGGCCCAGGGTCAGTAGGGGGCCCCATGAGATGCCCCTGGTACCTTTTTCATAGGCCTTTTTGATTTTGGGCAAGGATACAGGGACCCCATGATCTCCTATTGCCCAGGGGCCCCCTGAGTTGTCAGTCCGCCCCTGGTATCCACTGATATCCACTGTCAAGCAGAGACCAAGTGGACCTGATGAGGAGCTGGACTAAGTGTTCCCCATCAGGCTTCATTCACCCAACAACTCGATTTCATGGTCACTGCGCCTGTTGGGTGGGCAGAGACAGATGGGGAACTCTGAAACTAGTTCCCCATCAGGTCTATCTTGCCTGTGATTGACAGTGCACAGCAGTCTGGAGATTCCAAGGCTGCTTTCAACTGGCCATGGAGCTATGGATCCAGCCAGTTCTTTGCACTAACAATCAAAAGTAAAGCAGATTGATAGGAACTAGTCTCAGAGCTCCCCAACAGGCACTGCCCACCTCTAGCTTAAAACTCCTCAGCTATGCATCTGTCAGTGTGATGTGCACAGTGGATAGTCCCTATCCACTGTGCCCATCACACTGACAGATGCATAGCTGTCCCGTCCGGAGGGAGAACACTGAGTGTGCAGTATGGACACTCTATAAAAGTAATGCAGCGCTAATGACTAATATACCAGATAAAATCTTATAGGTGCATTTGGACCATAAAAAATACTCATAAACACATGGAATATCCTATCATGTAATATAGTTCTTGGTAGAAACGCACATACAAAATTCCTCAAAGTGATCGCCAGGTGACTGTGCTTAATCCCAGTATATAAGAAAATCCTCAGGTGGGTGTGCTCATAAACAGATAAAATGCGCACTCACCAGATGCGCATATATAAAGCACGTTGTATGGTATAATGGTGGTTGGTCAGGGATCCTTTCTTAGGGTGGTCCAGGGTGTAGCCTGGGAATGGGTGGCCTTCCTTTAGGTTATAGGATAGTGGCAAGCCAGGATATATGGATCAACCTCTTCCAGGCACTGGGGTGGTCCCCGGGGATCGCTGGGGAATTAAAATGCTCGGTGCGGAGCAAAGAAAAGGGATATTCCCATAGTGTAGTATTTTTAAAATGATACTTTAACGGTACTAATTAGTAAAGGAATACATTCCAGAAACATACACTTGTTGCAGTGCGAAAAACGAAGCAATGTAATGAAAATTGCATGAATTCAAACTGACCAGCTGGTAAATAAGATGGCTGCCGGACCTCCGTGATCCGGCGGCGTGATGTCACAACGTGCAGGGCTCCTCCTTATTCAATATATTGAATATGGCCATAATTGTAGTAT